AAATACACGAAAACGACAAATTTTTGTGTTTGCTAGAACTCTAGATATTTATATATTAACGGAGCTTATTTTATACGACTGTTTAATTCGACCGATATGGATGGATAAATTGAAACAAATTCAAGTGGATATTTTCAAGAGAGATTAGTTTTTCAGAGGAAAAGCTTTTCGCTATTTTCATTTTTGTTGTAAGAACCGACTGCTCATCGTGTTCGCACATTTTGTTACATAACGTCACTTACGTCACGTCACTTACGTCACTTACGGCCACTCACGTACAGCTTTCTGACAGTTAAAGCTGTACGTGTGTGGCTATTTTGGTCACAGTTCAACTCCAATTTTTTACCTGTACAGTTTACCTGAGAGAAATGAAAATTATTCATATTTTTTACTGAAATGACAAACTGAACTGTGTGTGTGTGTGTGTGTGGCGGTTTGAACTGTCATTGTCCATACTTCTCAGTTTAGTTTCTGTCAACAGCTCGGGCCAAACTTTCCTTGAACATAAGGGAATATTTCTCCCACAAGTAGTTAGGCAGAGCATCATAAATTAATCATAAGTGATGATATTAGAAAAAAAACACATAACATAACTATAGAGTGTGCATCAACATGTCGCGAGATATCAAGAAACAGGAGCCCGAGACTTTGCAAACTCATTATATTTCAAATCTTGTAATAATTGTCTTAATAAAGATTCATTCTCTGTACTGATCTCGAAGAGAATAAACGCTTTTTTGAGTCTTATGTGAAATCAATATTATATGTTTTTGTAATTCAAACACCATTTGAAAAGCCCGATGAATTAGATTTATCATACAGAAATACACTAATCAATTCTGGTAAAAAAAAAACGCCTTTCCGTAAGATTATTTTCAGTTATGTTTTGGTCGACAGCTTCAATCTCTTTGAAAAGTGGAATTTAAATATTTGTCATCCTTTAAAAAGTACATCTAAAATTTATTTTTCTTTTCGAGAGGATCATATCAATTAGGATAAATTTAGTAATTGGTAAATTGAGAATATATTGGCATCAATGCATCGATTTGAGGGTGATAGGCTTTTTTATGACTATTAAAAAAAAGGTCGACTATATAAATGTTCCTTGTTTAAGAACGAACTCAAATTTTGTCCTCTGAGTAGCCAATGATGCATTACTCAACACGTTCGAACCTATCTCAGTTGACCAGATACATTACTCAACATCTTCGAGACCAATCATACTTTATACTTGTTTGAATTATTTTCATTCGCAAGTTGTTCTCAAACATCATACTCAATACTGAACTGAGAGTGATTTCATTAAAAAACAAGAATAAAAACGTGGTAAATTTTCGTTATGTGGACACCCGGCGATTTTGAAAAAATTTTNAGATAGCATTTATCTTAATACTTGTGTGTAACACATTGTGTTACACACAAGTACTCACCTCCCCGAAGTTCAAATCTAAGAAACCTGGTGACACAGTCACTGAGACATTCATGAATGACAACTCCTAGTTGTTTTCAATTCCATATGTGAACTCAATGTTGTTGTTGATCTGTTGTTAAGAGTTGAAATAAATTTCTCTACCTTATATTTTTTCGTGTCAAAAATCACAAATATATCATTTCCATATCGGATTCAAGTCCGTGAAAGGTAATCTAACTCTTTTCTATCTCCAATTCAAATCTGCTCACGAACAGACAATCTATAAACGAGCACAGTGGGTTTCCCATTTCCGTGCCTTCGACAGAGTTGAAGAACTGCAAACAAATATGTTTCTTATAGATATTCAGAGATTACTTCTACACTGAGACCATTGACCGTCAGAAACAGTTTTTGGTTTAGGGGCACTTTGAAAATCAACGAGGATATATCAAACGATACAGAAATATTTTCGTCTCGCAACCTCACATCTTTGATTTTATCTACGAATTCATGTGAATTAACAAAATTGAAACCCAGTTGTGAGATTGAGAGTGTTTCAAACCATTTGGTCAGCTATTTAGCAATTTCATATGTAAGGGAACTTATGACGGAGGCAATTGGTCGCATCGACTTGCCAGATTTGTGAATTTTGGTAGACATATATTTTCGGAACTGTAAAGTTATAAACCTGTACTCTGGTTCAGAATCAGTGCGATTAGATTTTGTCACTTTTTGAGTGTGTTTTTCACTTCTGAAACCGTCTTAGGCGTGGGCAATGGGATTTTTGGTATTATAGGTACCGTATAGGGATAGGTACCGTAATTAAAGCTTGTCGCTCACTTGTCGGGCACAGCACAGCACGGCGCTGTCCGTCGCTTGATGGCAAAGGGTAGTAGCATCGCTCACTTGTCCAGCTACAACCAGCATACTGAAGGTTCTTGAAAATTTACCGCGTCCAAATTTACCGCGTCCAAATTTACCGCGTCAATTTTCATAGGTACAGTCTGGCACTGTGCTGTCAACTGATGGAAGAGCAAAACAGAAAGACTGAAACTTCCCAGGCACTTTTGGACAAGATGATGCTGGCCGACGACGGACGCTCTTGGCTGTGCCGTGCCGGGCTAGTGGGCGGTTGTCCATTCATTTTCATTGTTCCAATCCTATCCGTATTTTGACGGGACGTGCCGTGCTGTGCTGGATAAGTGGGCGATAAACTTAAATCAACAAATCTTTTAGAGTATGCTGACTTATCCAATATTACAATCTTTTTGGCTTTGTCTGCCTTCAGATTCAAAAAATCTTTTTCTTTCAATCATTTGATAATCTTTTTTTTCTATCCGAAATCATTCATTTGTGTCTGAAAGTGAAAATGTACTCTGTTAGATATAAATCGGAACCATATTTAAACTTAGCAATTAGTGAACTTCATCTTGTGAAGACGACAACTTGTTCGAGAAGAGTGTTTCACTTCTGGTGTTTGGGAATAGTGTTTGTTTTGAACATTCAATACATTTCACATGAGTATTGTGATATATAGATGCACATACTTTCATATATAAATTATTCCCCCTGAAATTCAAAACTCACCTCCCCGAAGTTCAAATCTAAATCCGCCCTTGGCCCATTTACTCGGTTTTTAAACGCAAAATAGTTTGTTCCTTTGTAATTCACAGGTGGTAGCTACAATAAGAGTTCCAACTATATAGAGTGTGTCTCACTTCTCATGGAAACGCCCCCCCCCGTATCTTCCGTAATATTAGAGGTAGAACGATGAAACTCTCAGGACTGATGGAAATGCTTAAAATGCACCTCCCACCTGAATGGGGTTGGCTAAAGTGATATACACTGTCCGCCACTCGCGATGGAACACCCCATTTTTACGGTAAAACATAACCATTCAGGTGGTAGGTGCATTTTGAGCATTTCCATCAGTCCTGAGAGTTTCATCGTTCCACCTCAAATATTACGGAAGATACAGGGGTGTTTCCATGAGAAGTGAGACATACTCTATATAGTTGGAACTCTTATTGTAATTTTCTTATGAATATCTGCTTTATTCCATGATTGAATGCTTGAAATATAAAATGAATGAGAAAAAATGGACTTTTGTGTAATTCAATGTTCATATGGAAATTGTTACGTGAGGATATTTTCCTTTCTTGTAATTCAATGTTGATGTGGATATACCCAGTTGCCTCGAAAGGTCTTTTTCTCCCAATTTGCACCTGAAAGAAACTTCTGTGCCTTCTTCTATATTTTTCATTGCAAGACAACTGGATTTTAGTTTCAGGCAGAACTGAAGTGTCGCTAGGTCTTGCTGGCCAACATGTAAAAATTTCAATTTGAGTTGAATTATCAAAATTTTTATTCAACAACTGTATATGAGTTTGGTTCGGGAAGAAGGATATGAGTGTTTTGAAACAGAAAGGCTATGAAACTTTTGTTAATATCAGGTATTTGGCGCCGATATAGAAATATTTTCTCCAGGTTGAGGAAAACGTTATTGCTATTAATATTTTTTTTTATTTATTTAGTGCATGGTTGGAGATTCTATATAAGCGGAAGGTGGTTGGTACCCCACGTATTCAATTAATAAAATTTCAAAAGAACCAATTACAATGATTGTTCTTTAGAATCAATCAACAAAAAAATACATACTAAAGCAATTGTAGACATCATAAACGTCTTCATATTAGTCATATTAATAAAAAAGATAGCAGATCTAATTGTCCAATTTTACAATTCATTTGAATGCATACTGGTTAATTTCTTCTTTCACAGGTCTTGTGTTTAGGAACAGCCATTAAACCATTGTCTGCCTTCTCCAGTTAAGTGTCCTAAATTAGTCCTCAATCTTTGATGAGTTGAAAAAGGTCGATTCGCTCTATAGGTAGTGACAGGGAATGTGGACAATATTTTTAACATGGAATGCTAGTTGGTGAATATAAACGCAATACATTCACTAAGAACCTCTATTGCATAGAATAGTTTATTTCTTCATTATTTTTATATTTGATCCTTCACATATATATCTCCGATTGGAGTGTGTCCGAATTCAGAAATTGTTCGTACCAAATGGGCTTATCAATCTTCACCAAACTACGCATTGAACTGGCTTATATTCGGCAAAGTAAACCTATGGTCTGCAAATCTCCAATACATTTCATCGATAAAATCTTTTGAGAAAGAGAGTTGTAACTGCGATACAAAAATGTGTCTGTAGATCCTTTGAATTTAAATTTAATTTATGTATTGTTTGGATGCTATGTAAAGAATTTTGACTTTCTCGTTTTTTGACGTGAATGAATCTTTGGCAGACTTTCGAATTTTACAAAACACAGAATACATATTTTTCATTTCTTCGACAGTTGCTACAATTACATCAATGTGGTCTACAGATGCTGATAAATCACATAACAGAGATTGAAGTGTTTTACATGAACTTCAATGTTCGAACTTATATTAGTTAATTTTTTTCTTCTCATTATGGGAGGAAGGTTCTTGTACCTGCTACTTCTATAGTTGAAATTCAGAAAAAATAAAAAATAATGAAAGGAATAAAAACAATATAAAAAATGAGAACACACAATAATTGTTCAATCCACCTTTCTACTTTATTACATACTATGACTAGCAGAAAAAAAACATAAGTATTATGCATGTAAGATAAATATATAAATAAAAATAATGAAAAATGAACAGCATCTATAGACTAAATAAAAAATATGTACCTAGTAAAGAATTATTACTTCAGCAATTCCAATTAATCATTAGTAGGTACAGCAATATAGTGAAATTGATTTTACATATTTACACAAACACAAAAAACATGTTACTAAAAATATGATTTACATAACTGTAATAGAAGTACACCCATAACTGATATCAGTAAGAAGTAAAATAAGGCAAGAAATACGAATTGTTCCAAGCTGCAAATACTGTTAGCTATACATTTCAGTTTCATATGGACTTCAACGTTCTTTGTTCATATTTGGGGTTATGAAAAGTTGTTTATTTCATGCAAGTAAAGGTTTATTTCATTATACTTATGCGAAAATAGCAACTGTTGAATAGATAGAGCATTCTTTTCTCTTGAAGTAATAATTCTGTGAATTTAATTTTAAAGTATGTATAAAGTATATGAAACTCAACGTACTTTTGGATCACACATATCACTTTCAATTATTTGCATATTATAATGTTATATACTTTCAAACTCGTTGCAAAAAAAACAATATTCAAGAAATTTTACTTCAATGATATGTGAAATTCTTTTAATTCACGAATCAAAGCAATATTGTGATGTTTATTTTAATAATGTTATACATATTTTCATAATTTTCTATTTTATTTTCATACAGATGGCTCTGAAGACTTTCATATATTCTGTGAAAAATTTTCCTAATCAAGTGTTTTCATAGTTGAACAAATTCAGTTTAGAACCTGAGAGAAACGTCTTTGGTCGGGTAGCTTATACTATTACGATATTTATCCAATACTATCACATAATATGTCTAATATCTGTACTAATATTTTTCAAAACAAAGAGAATATTGCATGTCTATTTTGATTAACGCATTTTTATTTATTGAGTAAAATTATTTCTATGAAATGTTCTGTAAAGGGACCACTTACATTTTTGTGTCCGTTGTTCAACTGTTTGAACACTTTTCAGTACAGTTCTGTCATCGATAGCTTCCAATGTTTTCGTTACTTTTTGTAGTGAGTGTTTCTATCAGCACATAATCATTTCTTATCAATTTATTCATTCAAATGATAAAACAGAAAAAAATTGATCAGGAAGAGAAAGACCAGGAGGCCAATGGATAAGACCATGTCACAGAATTATCGCTTCTGAGCGCGAAAAAATGTTTCATACTTAAATGAATTCAAAAGTTCTGAAAGGCAAATTATCACATTTTACTCATTCCAATTGATTGTTTCACAACTCTCACAACTCTTATTTTCATCTAAAACAATATTATATGTTTTTGTAATTCAAACACCATTTGAAAAGCCCGATGAATTAGATTTATCATACAGAAATACACTAATCAATTCTGGTAAAAAAAACGCCTTTCCGTAAGCTTGGTACAGCAGTGCTCGAACTCTAGGCTTGTGAAACATTGATCGTGTGTGCAATTCACGCTGACTGCAGTTTCAATTTTGTTTAAACCACGTAATTTTTCACAATTGAATGAAATAACAAAAGTAGAAAATAATTTAAAATGCTTTTTCAGACTGCTTCTTTATAAGATTTCAAAAAATAACTGTCACAGAAAAAGTATTGTATTCAACACGGGAGAAATGGTCAGTACCAGCTCGAATGATTTTGTTCACAAACTTGTTGAATAATTTATCATTATTGTAGTGAGAATTTTTTCAATATCTTCGCTAAATAGACATTGCTGACTTTTATATTCAATAGGTAACTGGGTGAATTTTGAAAATGTTAGATAAATTTCGTTTCACGACCTTGACTTGTGAGAAACTTAACTTTTCCTTCGTGGTGATAAATAAACATTTATGAAAATCAACTCAATTCTAAGCAAAAGCCAAGCCTTATCGCTTGTTCAATTTTATCCACAGCGTTAAATATGTAGCAGCGTGCATTACACACCACATCAATACAATCAATGAGAAATTGGAAACCAAATCGATGTCAACAATATCCATTTCAACAAGAAACTTCATAGGTTCCTCATAGTGGCAATATTCGCTGGTATCCGCACAGGGAAGTTTCTGTCTGTTGAGGCCGTACACGGAGAAAACGACGCTCTGAAAGGCTGCCCTATAGTAGCTGAGAGTGAATATCCATTTGAAGTGTACAGGGGTGTCCAATTCTCGAATGCAGAAGCCAAACACTGACAGGAAGCATGCCAAAACCGGGGCAACGAATACTGCTGCCTGAAATCAATGAAGACATCATTTATTTGCCTACGGTATAATGATGGAATTTGAATATGAGGGATTTCATCCAAAACAATTAATCGACACCAATTACCGAAAAACGAATCACCGGAAATCAAATTCACCAAACCAGTAAATTCATCCTAACAACTGGATTGAAATAAATATATCAAGATAGCATTTATCTTAATAATTGAGCAACATATACATTGTGTTACACACAAGTATTATCAAAAGATGGAATGATATAAATAAAAAAAAAGTTTATTGAAATAATTGATTTCATCTTCAACTCAAGTTATTTCTCTTTCGAAGGTGAATACTATAAAAAAATTCTTGGTACACCAATGGGAGCTACTATTTCTCCAATTATAGCTCAATACGTAATGGATGATCTTTTTGAAAACATACTTCCTAAACTGAGTTTTGAAATTCTTCTTTTAAAGAAATACGTTGATGATGTCATTTGTGCAATACCTTATGACAAATCTCATGAAATTCTTGATGTTGTCAATAGATATGATAAAAAATTACAATTCNTTTTAGAATATTTTCTTATACAAATGTTACATTTCCTTTATTAAAGTACAATTATCAAATGTGCATTGCATGAATGATATGTTCCTTGAACTATTCGGTATAACAGTCGAAATTTTTTGTGTTGAAATTATATTTTTTTCTGCCATGGACACAACTGCCATTGATGTACCTGGTCGCAAATCGGGTGTGGGTGTTATTTCAGCACTGCCAAACGTTCTAAATTGCTAGCTATTTCTGTTCTGTGTGCTACCGATTCATCAACATACCCTTCAGCGACCGTTGATGACTTCCAACCGTCATGTTTATTTAGTGTCATCAAGTCTTCCCCAGACGATCTTCGAAATGAATGACCTGTATATGAATTGGCATTTTCAAGTTGAAGAAAATTAGCCACTGCTACAGGTACCTTATAAAACTGATTGCTACCCACAACCTGATTGATACATTTTTCATTGCGATATGCATAAAACAGGATGCAATCCTATGCTGCTGCTGGACGAAGGGCTATGTACATTCGGTAAAATTTAATATATTCTTCAGTAACTACAAATTTCCTGTTTACATCATTCTTTGCTTGAGTTTCACAACTAATAACTTTCCCGAATCTTCAATATCATCTTATGTTACCTGGCTGATTTCACAAATTCGACAAGCTCCTGCAATCCCAAATACAACAACAACAACCTTGGCCATTAAATAAACTTCATCGGGAGCATTATTTAAAAAGTCACTAATATGTGTACTTGTAAATATCGCAGCTTTCTTGGGCGTGTAACCTTTCCCATTTTGTTTCAGAAATGTAATTAGTTTGAAATATTTCGAAATGTCTATATTATTATTGGATTGTAACATACTTTTAATCATTGAATAATTCGACCACACTGTTGATGGCTTTTGTTGTTGTGCCAGTTCCGAAAAATTAGCCAATAACACCGTCTCCGAGAAAGAACTGCATGTCTTTATCATCTTCCATTTCATGAATCTTGAATACGCGGTTTCATACATTTTCCGCGATTTAGCTGGCAATAATTCTTCTACTAACTGCGGTGGAGTCAGAGAAAACTCGGAATTAGACATTTTTCAAAATAACTACTGACCACTATTACCAGGTGTTCTGATGCGCTTTCGTTGATCGAAATGGGGCTTCTGTGGGGATATAACCGAGATGTTCCATAGGGTGAAAATTCGCAAGGATAGATGTGCACAGCGGTTTCTTTGGCGGAATAACGAGCAACATAGGCAGGTAGATGAATACGAGTTACAGGTGATGATGTTCGGTGCTTCTTGTTCTCCATGTTCCGCACAATATGTTGGAAATTTAAATGCCAAGCTATCGAAATATCCTGAATTGATTAAAGATGTCGAGAGAAATTTCTATGTTGATGACTATCTGGATTGTTGTGATACAGAGCAAGAAGCACTCTCAAAAATCGAAAGAATCATTAAACTTCATAAAAATGGTGGTTTCGATATAGTTAATTTAAATTTATTGTAAATTAATTTAAAGTCGTTTATCATAAGTTTACCAAAGAAATAACTAACGGCACGGTGATTCCTACAAAACGCCAAGTTTTGCAGTTGGTTATGTCGATTTTTGATCCCTTAGGCTTTCTCACATTCTTGTCTATCAATGAAAAAATCATTCTACAGACAATCTGGGGAAGTGGCATCGGATGGGACGATAAGATTCCAACAACAATCTTCCATAGATGGTTAGAATGGTTGAAGAGTTTAGAATCAATCTCTTCACTAAGGATTCCCCGATGCTACCCCCTCTCTCTACTGCTAAGGCAACAGAAATCCACATATTCTGTGATTCGAGCGAGAAAGCATTGGCGGCGGTTGCCTACCTGAGAGTAATTTTCGAAACGCACGTTGAGTTATTTTTCGTTTCAGTAAAGGCCAGAGTGAGTCCCCTGAAGCCTATTTCAATTCCAAGGCTAGAGTTAGAAGCTGCAGTGATGGGTAGCCGATTGTTGTGCACAATATTGAAAGAAATTGATTTTCCTGTTAATAGTTCTTTTTTGTGGACAGATTCCAAAACAGTTCTGTGTTGGATCAAAGGTGAGACGGAATTATAAACAATTTGCCGTACATAGAATCGGTGAAATACAAGATTTAACAGTTGCAGCTCAATGGACATATGTCCCTGGCAAATTAAACGTTGCTAACGAAGCAACAAGAATAAATCCATCGTATATTGGCGCAAATTATAAATAATAGTTGTTGGTTTCGAGGTCCTCATTTTTTGTGGAACTTGAATGATTCACCACCAGACTTCGATTTTTTAAATTATCATCTCGCCGATGAAAATTAGAGAAAATCTGCCGAACATTTTGTTGGTTTCATTGTTCCATTTTCTGACTACCTGCCCGAAGTACACCGGTTTTCCAAATGGCGAAGACTTGTGAGAAGTGCAGCATGGGTATTAGGTTTACAGACTTCTTCTAGGAAAACATCGTGGGAAAACCGGTATTTCTTCTGGAGAATTAACTATCGAAGAAATAGATGATGCAAAGAGATTGTGTCTCAAAAGAAGCCAAGAGGAGAGTTTTGGCAAGGAAATTGAATTACTCAAAGCAAAGGATCAACTTGACAGAAAAAGCTCGCTTTTTAATCTTTCAGCGTTCATTGATGATGATGAACTTCTTAAAACGCAAACTAGAATCAGCCAGCCTCTTTGTTCAGGTGAACCCGTAAAGAAACCTGTGATTTTAGATCCCAAAAATGCTACTGTTGATCTGATATTGCAGCATTTCCATGAAAAGAATCACCATCAGGGAAAAAATGGTTTTGAATGATATACGTCAGATATATTGGCTAATTAAAGGAAGACCAGCTGTAAAAAATATTTTTTAAAGGTGCCGTTACTGTAAATTGAAAAAATCGAAATTTGCCATTGATGCGCCTCACATCAGACTTAAAACCATTTACTTACACTGGTATTGATTATTTCGGGAGTTCTTTCCACTTGTATGACAATTCGTGCAATTCATTTGGAAATCGCACACTCCCTCACTGCTGATGGTACAATAATGGCCATAATGATATCACGCCGGGGTCCAATTAGAAACCTTTATTCAGATAATGGCACAAATTTTAAGGGAGCGAATGAAGAATTTTTGATATTGTACCGTGAACTCGATCACAAGGAGCTAACTCTAAGAATGACAGAGATGGAGATAGAACGGCACTTCGTTCCACCTGGTAGTCCACTATGGGTGGATGCTGGGAAAGGTTAATAGGCTCTGTCAAAAAAATTTTGTGGGTTATTTTGGAGGAAGAATCTCCTAAGGATGAAATTTTATCAACATTGTTCGCCATTATTTCTTCATGCAGATTTTAGTAGAGCTAGCTTACCAGTTAGATTTCCATCAATAAATAAAAGTTCAATAATAGTATTCTCAACAATACCAGCCCAAACGTTCCCTTTCTCTGGATACTGTGTATGAACTTCCCTAAAAAGTCGCAAATTTTCATCGTTCCAGGGGCAACAATTTTGTCTGTTAACATGGCCATTGAGAAAAAATGTACACTTATCAGTAAAACAAAGTAGAAGAGCTAGAAGAGTTCGGAGTTTAGATTTCTTTCAGTTTTCCCACTATTGCCCGACCGTGCTTCCTCCCCTTCCCGACCGGAGAGACAAAATTTATAACAAAATGTATGATTTATAACAAAAATATCACTGTGGGTAATTATTTCTTCGAACTGAAAATAAAACTCAGTTCTTGAGAAAAATAACGTTCAACTTGTACCAGTCACCAATCGCAAGTTGACGTACCATCAGACGACACAAACTGACAAAATAATATTCTCTAGTTCATCTCCCGATGACTCCAACTTGGTAGGTGAAACGCGCACGTCAATAATTTTTTCGTCGAAATAGTAGACGTTATAATGTTACCTGAAGGTTTTTCTGGAGGCTTTCTCTCTGACCTCTATTCCATTTCCTGATAATGCCAACTTTGATTACGCGTCAATAAAAGTATGATTTCTATTGTATACTTGTTTCGGATATAATTGTTTTTTAGTGTATTTTTTTGTAAGCTTGTCGACATTTCTTTCTTTTTTAGATGTAATGTAACGGTGGTGTTGTAATGTTTCTTTCTTCAACTTTTCACCTAAGGTTCAATACATCACACGTAACGATTCGACTATTATTAAGGAAAGAACGACTTCGAACTTTTCTTCGAATGCTCACATCTACATTTTCTACCACGCAGCCACCTCCCACAACCTTCGCGCCGGCACTCTTAACTTTTTCTTATAAACTGATTCACCACGCCGCGCCGCCTGTTTTTTCTCTCCCTTCCATATGGCCGCCATCTCACTCATGCACATATGTCGGGACGTTCGGCTCTCACTTTTACACATATCTTTTGACATTTTCTTTCATACATCTAACGACATTTCTCTTTATTCAACACCCCTCATGCACATTCTCAATGCACGTAACATTTTTTACTACCCCCAAATGACAAATGGCAGATGACAAGTAGGCTCCATTGGCATCTCCGGTTTCATGTGCTGTGTTTCAGGTTACTATCCGACAATGTATAACGAAGATATGACTCAGTGCCTTTTTGGCATGTTGCCATCTGAAAAGTTTGAAGTCCACACCAGATAAAAATATTTCGATACAAAAAAATATTCATATTCGAGATTTTCAATATTATCTAGTTTGTGAATCATTATTAACGAAGATACGACTGAGTGACCTTTTGGCATGCCTCCATATTCGTTTTTTCTTTGTCAATGAATTCTGCATTCCGTCCCCTTCCATTTGATGTGTTGCACGTGGCGATCCGGCTATTATTAACGAAGATACGGTTCAGGGTCCTTCTGGCACGTCATTATCTTCATTTTTTTCTATGTCAACTCTGCATTTATTTTCCTTTCATTTGATGTCCGTTATATAATACGACTTCAGTTTCTTCGATTTCACTTCATTGAAATAATATCACAAAGTGTTTTTGATACCTAAACATATTCACAGTTATCAGCAGATTTCTCACGAGCCGATACTAAGAATGTAGTATTTTTGAAAATGTAGCTGAACGACCTTTGAAATGAGGTATCATTCAACTCTCCTTTCCGTTCAAAATTTTAGGGGTTGCGCCCGCCCGGCGTCATTTAGCCTGAAATCACTTATTAATCCCCAGTAATGTTGAAAAATTGATTTGCATTTTACATACTGTCGAGGAATGTCATTTATTCATTTTAATTGAAAAAATGGTACTTTTTATTTGACTTGTCCAGCATTATTTGCTTTTTTATGGATTAAATGGATATCTATCTTCTCTCTCGTTTACTAAAATATATATTTTTAGACACTAGGTGAAATTAACAATGAATGAATTCACTTACTTTGACTGGTGTTGTTGACCCTATGAAATATCCCATGGACTGAGCACATAGAGAACATGCTGTAACGAATAGTACAAACAAAAATATCCTGAAGTCCAAAGGTTGATCAGTTAGCCAGTAAGAAATTGCAATGTAGGTCCATGTACAAATCACCTGAAAGGGACAATAACGGTATTTGATTGGAGCATTCAGTTAAGTTATACAGTTTTGGATAATCTTGAAATTGATTATTTTCCATTGTTGAAATATCATGAGAGATTACATGTTTGGAAAAGTACAGGTAGTAGGGGAGATGAAATGAACTAAGCTAAACTATTCATGATAATTACAAATTTTTTAACAAAAGCTTTATTTACAATACGCTTTTCAATTCATAGTACTTTCCTTAGTTGGACTGGTCTTGAATAGTGTTTTTGATTTTCATCAAGTAACAGGTCTGTGTATTCAAAAATATAATGTTAAATATGGTAGATATTGAAAATACATGAATTCAAAAAATAATACGAATATTGGTAGTATCCACAATAGGTTTGGGGAGGTTAGGTTAGGTCCAAAGTGAGTTGATCTATTCGACTCTCCACCGCAACCCGCAAGGGTTTATTGTGGCTCACACCTATTCTCACTCGGCCAAACAAACCCAGCTTCATAACGAAGCTGATTAGTTTATACGGTGAGTGGTATTTTAGGTCAGATGGTAAGAGTACGGCTCTGCCGAGACTCGCTCCTGAATTAAATTCACAGGGAGGTCAGTTGGAGTCGTAAGCTCGACATCCATCTCCTCTGTAGACTCGCTCGTGAACTAAATTTACAGGGAGGTCATTTGGAGTCGTAAACTCGACATCCATCTCCTCTGTAGACTCGTTCCTGAACTAAATTTACAGGGAGGCCCGTTGGAGTCGTGAACTCGACATCAATCTCCTCTGTAGACTCGCTCCTGGATTAAATTTTACAGGAAGATTAGTTGGAGTCGTAAACTCGACATCCATCTCCTTTGTAGAATCGCTTCTGATCTAAGTTTACAGGGAGGTCAGTTGGAGTCGTAAGCTCGACATCCATCTCCTCTATAGACTTAGCGTCAGAAAGACGCTACTTTCCTTAGTTGGACTGCTCTTGAATAATGTTTTTGATTTTCATCAAGTAACGGGTCTGTGTATTCAAAAATATAATGTTAAATAGTATAAATGTTTCATGATAGATATTGAAAATACATAAATTCAAAAAATAATACGAATATTGGTAGAATCCACAATAGGTTTGGGGAGAGTATTTGCTCATTTTGTTGAGATTACTTGATTTCAGGGATTCATGATTTGCCTCTATCGCATGGTATCAGGTGGATGAAATCATTGGGTTTACTGTTGACCTTTGGTGGTTTTGTCTGTTGAACTATTAGATTCAGATCCAATTCTTCTGGTTCTCGTCTATAGTCTCCTCCCTGAGAGCGACTCGTTTGGCAAAAGTTTGTTGTGGCACGGATTGAAGAGAAGATCTATCACCATCTAAACAATTAATTTTTCACCAGATGGATGATAATAGTGGTTCTCAATGAATATATGTTTTCCAGTTGTATCTCCTCACTTTCACGCCTGGAAATGCCAATTCATTTTGGAATTGCTACTCCATTGTTAATTTTATGGAAAATCACATCCTGTTGAGGTGTACCAACAAGGGCGTCTATTTTGTATCTCCATGATAAAATGAAACATATTGTCTATTATATAGTCCAACATGCCATGTGCCTATAGAATTATTTGGAAAAGAAGGGATGGTAGTACTATTTAATTATCGGAATCTGCAGAAAACATTTTTATTTTTTCCATCGTTTTACGAAATACCACAATGAGCATACCATTTTTCTGGAGTCTAGATATATGTGATTTTTGGTAAGGGGCTATATTATCCTAGTTTCAAGTTATGAAATAACTATCACCAGCTCCCTTGGCATATTTTCAATTTGAAATCGGTGTTAGTTGCTAAAAAACATTAAATACGACCACATTTCACGAACCTAGAATGAAAGTTGGTCTTTCTAATTTGTTGGTCAGTACGATGTAGATAATACTCAGTTGAGAGGAAAGTGAGTTTGAGAAACAAATGTAGTTAGCTGGTTCATTCGAGGACGAACTTAAACTATAGTTGAAATAAAAGTTGCCAAAATATTTTTAAAGGAGTCCTTCGACGAGAGTGCTTTGTTCACTCAGTCAATCGGATGATGTGTGAGTCGTTGGTTCGAGCCGCAGGCTTAACGCTCGATTTTCACTTGCTTGTTAAAAATCACACGTTAAAAGGTAAGCCCTCGTTAGTCCTTAGCTCTCACAAGTTCGACTTCTGAGGATTGTCGTTTGTAGGGGTGCGATAGCTGGTTAACAGAAAAACATATTTCATACATATCTTTTTAGTAATAAATGAACATAGTTATTAGTTTTGACAAGTATATTTGATTGATTACACAAACTGCAGGTATTAAACGACCCAAAAGCTCATAAAATATCTTGCTTTTGACCCTTTTGGGTGGATCTGGGTGGTCCTGATTAAGTATTATACATCCGCCTATACCAGCTGCGGCAAATCATAACGAAATCACAAAATTTTGTTCGAGCATTCTGTAATCGTTTGGCATTTATAATGAGCATTCATTTCTTTTTACCATTAGAAAAATTAGTCCACCAAAATATATGTTCAGTAATATCATTGTTCAAATTGAGGCATAACGTCTCATAAATTCCATATGGATTTAATTGAAAGGAGCAGATTGAAAACTATGTGAAACTTTGTACCTCAAAACTAATATATGTATTTTATGCGTAATGAGACATTCCTTCAATAATTAGTTGAATTATAGCAAAAAAAAACAACCACTTAATAGAATTTACATTACCACTCAATGTAACTGGATTCAAAATATCCATACAGTGAACTAATTATATATAAAAAATCCATTAAAAAACATTGCATCAATACTATCAATTACTGCTTTGATCAAACTTATTAATTGTCAATAAAAATAAAAAAAAACATTCTAATCTATTTTCATCTAATTTTCATTTGAAAAAAATGTATTTACTTTGCAAGTTTATACAGAAAAATGTGTGTTTACCACAAAATAAAAGGAGAATCGTAAAAATACAATAAATATACCCAAACAAAATTTTTACTTACTTGGAAAGGTATTTCAATCAATATCACAGACAACAGGTAGGGAGTCAATTTGTACCATCGGTTAAAATGCTCCCTGGTTAAAATCTTCATTTCTAACGGAACTGAAACAATACAAAATTCAATAAAAAGTTAGACTGGAACCTCCGCCGTAGCACAAATCCAAATACAAGTGCTTTTCTCAATCACCAGAAATCAATCAACAAACACTTTTTCCATTTACCAGAAATGCTACAAAGTTGGCGACTTCAGGAGATGCTAGTGAGATGATTTTTCCGAAATGTTCAACATGAACATTATCACGCTGTATTTAGATGTATTTAGAAAAGAAACAAGCACGTACAGGTATATTCCTGACAGTTCACATCACTGTGGACAGCATAGTGCGCATCGTCTTTTGACTTTTCCTCTTACACATGAGAGGTTTGCAAAAGAAAAACGTATAATACAGGAAATGACAGTCACTAATGGTTTCTCGAGAGGTATTTTGTGGATGATATAATAAGGAAAAAAGTTTAGGTTAAGAATGAACGGAATCTCGATTTTCAAAAACGACATACCTCCGCATGAAGAACTTTGGAAAGATTTTCAAGGAACTAGGCATAAAGGTCTGTCTGTTCTGTCTGTTTTTCCGTTAATCAGCTGTCGCCCCCATACGAACGACAACATTCAGAAGTTGAGAAACTTGTGCGAGCTAAGGACTAACGAGGTCTTACCTTTTAACGTGTGATTCCTAACACGGTTGCAGATAAATTCTCCCGAGAAAAATATCTGGTCGAGGCGGGAATCGAACCCACGGCCTTCCGATCGTGAGTCGGGCGCACTACCACCGGTGGTTTTTAAAACAAGTCATACACTTCAGAGCCTTTTAGGAAATCCAAAAGACAAAGTTGAGAATTCGGAAAAGTGTGGCATTTACGAAATTAAATGTAAGGACTGCGATGCAAAATATTAAGGACAGACAAAAAAATCTATTTAACAACAGGCATCTAGATGTCTATGTGAGTTTAGATATAAGTAAACATAATAATATTATGAATAACGATGGCGGACCAATACCTAATACTATACTATACAGTTTGTTGAAATTTTTCAATTATTAGATTTACCTGACTATTACATAAGGACACATTGTGAAATTAATTTAAGATACTTAAGACGTAGGTACCTAGAAGAGTATCTATGGTATCTAGAAGAGTATCTATCTATGGTGTTGGGAAAAAACTCCAGTAATATTCATTGTCATTCTCAAATCAAATACGCACAATTGAAGTTTATTAATTAAAATCAAACTATTCAATGGAACTTAAGAGTTTTTTTATTGACTGATTGAGGTAATATAATGATAGTAGAATTATATGATTATAATAACAATGATAATATTTATTCATTTATGTTGCATACAAAATAGAATTAACATCTTAAAGGTAATGATGAATGAATTGTAAATCCACTGAGGGTTTAACCCTGTGTGTGGTTAAATTAACAAATACGAAAAATAAAAAAATGTTACATATAACACAATCACAATTACTCACATAAAACAAGTTGTTGTGATAGTAAAAAGAATATTAATGTCATATATTCCCGTACTAATAGACAAAATCAAAGGTTACAAAATAGTCAAGAAACAAACAAACACATACAGACAGCTCACAGAAGTTCATACTTGTTTGTGGGGATAAAAAACATCAAAGTTTTACACATAGGTATTGATAAAGTGAGGAAATACAAATATTGACTAAATTTATAATATGAAATAGAATAATACACATATATAGGGTACACGGCAGAGAAGGCCAAATTCATATTTCAGTACTGTGAGATTGAAGTATAATGACTTACAACTGATTCTTTTCTTTTGTATCATGTTATTGAATTAAATTAAATTAAGGACACTCTCTCTAGGTGAGTTTTTTATAAATCTGACTATCTTACTTTTGAATTGGTTAATATTACGGATCTATTCAATATTCGAAGGTAAGTTTTGGACCCAAATACTGATGACATTTCTGGCCCACCGATTTATGCACCGAGCATATTGGAACTGCTTGCGATGCCTGGTACTATAGTCATGGGTAGGTGTCACTAACTGATTTTTGTGTTTATGATGTCTTATGTCTTGTATTACAGTTTTTGTAGTACAATTGTCTTACATCTAGTAATCCCAATGATGATCAAAATGATGATGATTGAAAATTGGAAGATATACCCATATGTATCTTCAACATATCCAACTCATCTTCGATTACTTCTCCACTGAGACCATTGACTCTTAGAAGATCCCTCAAGTATTCGAACGGTGATAAAAATCCTATTTCAAAAACTTCATTGTTTGCCTTTTTAAGAATCACATTGTTGAAATTGTGTAACGGAAAGTGAGAGTGTATCCTGTTTGATATATTAGTAAATAGGTCCCATTATTCGAGTTTTCTTTATCTCCTGAAGTAGCCAACTTGATTGGTCAAACACGCATCGAGAAAAGTATTGTAGTTCTGATGTTTTGAAAAAGTGCTTATTGTGGACTAGTTCTCTTGATAAAATGGTTCCAACACGGCTACCTACTGAAAAAACATAACTTTCGAAAAGGAGAAAATGGTTATATCCTCATATTTCAATTCCATAGATGATGATACAACTGTGATCATTTTTTTATATCTGACTCATTCGGGTGATTCATGTGGGATTTATTTTATGGTCAATAACTGTATCAACTAATTATACTTCAATTGTTTTAATTACTGAAATTAGTATTTGTTTGACCACTGTCATGAATAATTTATTCGGAATAGAATAATTAGCGGCTTGATGAGTATTTTTATGTTGTGCACTGTTTTATGATGTATTATATCAATGTTGTTGAGTTTGACATTGACACGCTTCAACAATTATTATAGTAGATGTGAAATGAGTTTCTATGTTTATTTTTCAAGATTAACTATTGTCATGAAAAATCATAGAAGGAAGGCTAGATAACAAATAAAATTAATACACAACCTGTTTAGTGGAAGTGAAATTGTTATAACTTTCACTTCCATTATACAAATCTCACCACAGGATATCTATCAAATAAGTTATTCGTGCTGTAAGACAAAATTATATTTTTTCTTTATATCTTCTGAATGTAATTTTTACAAACTGAAATCATTTTTCGGCAAAATACAAGCATACTGCTCTACTCAAGGTTAACGTCTTTCAAAAGAAGACTTCAAATTTTCATTCGTGGCGATCTTGACGAAAAAAAATTAGGTTCATTGACAAAAAAGGTCTGTTTTCCAAAACGGTAACCCTTTATGGAGTATAAAATAACTATATGAATTATTTTTCCCATTATTTCATCGTGGTGATAGCAAAAAATACTGACTTATCAACATTTTTTCCCAGTAACTCTTTCGGTGTGTACTTTGTGTACTTTTCAGTTTGATATGTATTTCGCATGAGAAGTCTCTCTACTGGTTTAGTAAATTGTGGTCCCATAATAACTATTTGAAAATCGAAAGGCAACATACATAAGAACGAAACAGATGCGACCAAAATTTTTGATCTGAAAGAAGACATAAAATCAGGAAATTATTTTAAATCTAAATGTCCAAACGCATCACGTTTATGCTGCTCTTCAAATGAAACATTCACTTACAACTTCACTGCCTGTCGTTGTTTTTACTGCAAATAGATGTTCGGCATTGAAAACCATCAGTGCCTCATCTACGAACCCACAGCATATAGAAATTTTTAAGTAGATATCAGTAGATATTATTGCCGGCTGATCGTAACAGTAATCAGAATATTAACACCCACTGTGACTTGGCGGCGAAAGAATTCAGTTGTTACTACTCAAAAGTAGTTGCCTCTGATTTCTTGAAATCCAATCCCAAACTGAAGGAATAATGTTTTCTAAATACCGTATCACCAGAAGATATCATCATTGCTATAAATGAACTCAAAAATAGTAACTCTTGGGATATCTATGATTTGAACACCCAGATGATGAAACATGTGAGAGATATCTTGCAAAACCACTTGCATGTCTGGTAAACCTGTGCTTTAGTCAGGGTATATTCCCGAGTAATTTGAAATCGAGTAAGCTGATCCCGATTTTCAAGAAAGACAATGTAAATCAGTTTGTAAAATTGTGGAAACAGTAGTCAAAAATCACTATCCAAATACATTGAGAAATTCAACATACTTCATAATAATCAGTTTGGGCTTAGGAAGAATCGTTCCACAGTTCAAGCTACTGCCAAATTAATTTATGACATAATCGAGAGTCTTCAACAGGGTAAGCACACGGCAGTAACCACGTGTGTGACGTGAGCAAGCCCTGTGTTTCACACAGTGTCCTTCTTGACAAACTCGAATATTATGGCATCAGGGGCGTAGCGAATGATTCTTTCAAAACCTACCTCTCTAACAGATCACAATCAGTCTTTTTGAAAGAAGCCTCTTCAGTAAGCTCAACAGTAAAATATGGTGTACCACAGGAATCGGTTTTAGGTCTACTATTGTTCACTATATACATGGAGCTAACTCAAGTCATGATGAGTTGAAATACCAAATGGAAATATCTAACACAAAAATTGAACAATGGCTGGTCTCCCAATAATTTCGAACATTATCGGAGCAAAACTCAATCCATCACATTTTCGACAAATTCCTAATTGAATGAGAATCTATTGTAAATTTTTTGGGCATCACATTGGATGAAATTTGAAATGGTCTTGCCAGATATACACAATCTTATATTTGAATATGTCTACTGTATGTATTTAGTCTCTCAATATGAATTGAAGGGGTTATATTTTTAGGAGTGATTAATTTTTTTGGCTTTCTACTACTCCATCTTGATACAAAAAAAGGGATGAGGGAATCTTCCAAAGAAAGGAAAAAAGTAATCAATTTGAAAATAAGTAACTCTATACATGGATGTGTAGATCATGCAAAGAAGTAACTTTCAGACACAAACTGAAAGAAAGTCCTCCTGAAACAGCTACTATTATATAAACATTGAATTACACGAAAGAAAAAAAATTCTTTCGAAACAAATACTTCTATATGAACACTGAATTATACAGAAGATACTTTTCTCTACTCAGTTTGTATTTCA